TTTGGATCACCTCCTTCATCACTTTCCTTGGTGTTGGCGGTCTTGTTGGAATGGCCAATATTGCTCTACTTGCTTTGCGCATTCAACTTGTACCAACGATGCATCAACATGGCATTGATCTTGTGGCACAAGTTGGCGGCCCGGTTTGGCTAGCAAAGTAAGATAATGACATGACCAACAAGTTGCACCATAGAGCAAATCTATCAAATGACCAACACATACAACAACACGAAGCAAAACTTACAAGCTTGAGCAGTGACGCGCCACTTGGCCACTGATTATGCGCGTCGCAAAACTTGTTGACGGTCTCTTGAATGGTGTATCATCATGGCTTAGCAACTTCTGATTGCGATCATGGATCACTTGTTGTAGGGGGCATAATGCTTTTGCTCATGATAGAAATCAAGCGCGCTTTGCCAAAAAGCGAGCCCTTTTGCTCCTTCCTTGAGGTGGATCAACACTTATGCCCAACCAGGCCAAACACAACAATTCACCCTTCCCGTTCGAGCACGAGAAACCCCACTTTTTCTTTGCATCTGCATCGGGCACACCCGACTGTTGGGTGTCCACCGACGTCTCTTGCTTCGACTGCGGCTAGTAGTGGTCCTCAACTTGTCTGTCTTCATGGCCGCCTCCGTTGTGGATCATGTTCATCATCGCCTCATCAATGGGCGTCGTCGAGCTTAGGGAAGGCATCCCGTGAAAGTGATCGCGCACTGCCAGACGAGGGCTCCATGGACGGAAACCACGACCAGAGGAGCATTCACAACTCGGTGAACAAGTAGTCATTGCTGAGGTCGATGGTGTACAACGGCGGGTAGCCAAAGACGGAGTTGAAGAAAGCGGCGGAGTGCTACAACGATTGTTGCGTGTCAGGCTAACTGTATTGCACGGTGTCGTAGTAGTACGATGCCATGTACTAGGTGGGCCAGGGTCGCGATTGCCCGTGTGACACCAACACGGCGGTCCTATGTGGAGGAATAGGAGCTCCGTCCTAAGCGGCCATATGTAACTTCTTCTTCGCCCTCTCCTTCACGTGTCATTCTTGTGTGCCGTTGACGCTATTGCATTGTTGGAGTTTTTCCAGTCCGACGAGACCTCAAATCTTGTGACTGGGCGGGATTGAGAGAGGAGGGATCGTGAAATTGCACGGACATCGGCTTGGTCTTGGGTGGGTCCCGACCGCCAGGGTTTGACGTGGCGAACGTATAAACTCCCCCGATTTAGGTTAGACCGTGGGGTTTCGGGCGTCCGAACCAGCCCAGCCTGATTTGGTGATACCGTTCGGTCCGGACATTCGCACATGTTTTGGTGACCCGCATTGGGGATGTCCTAACCCGGTTGCATTATTTGCAAACAATGTGTTGTGTGCGCCACCATGAGGCACACGTATGACGAGGCCCCATCCACACCGTCCACAAAGGCATCCACGTGGGCCGCGCCACCTCAGCAAAAAGGCCAAGCATAAGACACGCGGTGCGTGTGCTGTGTCCAAGCCCCTCTATCTCTCTGTCTCACTCTATCCTCAAAGGGGGAAGAAGGGATAGAGTGGGGAGCGGAGCTCAGCTCACTTCAGCGGGAGCTCAGCCCATGGCCATGGCGACCTCCACCTTCTCCGCCCACCCGCTCTCGCTCAAGCCCCAGCTCGGCCCCAAGCCCCACCGCCTCCACCTCGTCCCCTTCCCGCGCCTCCGCTCCCACCGCCGCCTCGCCGCCGCCGGGGAGGCCCCCGTCGAGGCGCCACCCAAGCCGGCGGAGGCGGATCCCTCCCCCGCCGCATCCAACGGGTCCGCCGCTCCCGCTGCCGCTGCCGCTGCCCCGGTCGCCGCCGCCGCTGCTCCGGTCGCCGCGGCCAAGGCCGAGGCGGTGGCGTCGCCCAAGTTCCAGGACTCGAGGTGGGTCAACGGGACCTGGGACCTCAGCCGGTTCGGGAACACCGGCGGCGCCGTCGACTGGGACTCCGTCATTGACGCCGGTGAGATTGCCGCTCTCCCCCTCCTCCCCCCTGGGGGTTTCACGCTTCTGCTAAGCAACAGTAGACAGTAGGCCAAGCATATGACAGCATTTTATCTGGACCGGATGGGGAATTACATGGGATAGCTCGTCTACAAATAGAGTAAGTGCATACATTTGCCTGAGGATTCAACAAATGGTTGCACAATATGTTGCCGGCGATTGTGTCCTTTGGACGTTGCCGAAATTGAAATCGCGTGTTGGCTACTTAGCTTTCGTCGGGTTCACTTGCTAGGATCAGTGCTTGATGAGATAGTGCTCAGGATAATACAAGCCGAAGCAGAGAGATTTTTTTTTTAAGCAGAGAGATTTGCAGCTATGTGCTGTACTCTCCATTGGTTTCTAGTCCCATCGGAGCGTGTTGCACATTATTCACAGATATAGTCATCTCCATCTTCAGTGCAGCGTGCGCCGATTTAACACGGCACCTACGACGCATCCTCCCCTTTGGTGGTTCACAATGAGTTTCCACATCCTCGGAATTTTTTGCATGGTTTCGATGCCTCTATACGCATTACTCTGTTTCTCAAGAGTGTTATTAGATGGAAAGGTTCGACAACTTGACCGTTTCCATCGGGAAATCACTACTTTATGTAAACCAGCTCTCACATAAAAGTACTAACTGAAGTTGGAACTGGCTTCACAATTCAAATCCCCATATCTCCTGAACTAATCCAAACTGAACTACCCTGCCAGCTGTTTTTACATTTCTGTAGTGTTTTTGCATAAATTAACCTGAGTAGAGTTTGTACACATGTGGCATGTGACTGGCTACTTTGTTAATCATGCAAAAGCTCATGCCATTTGTTGATGTGCTGCAGTGAATGGAACAAACATTGCATTCCTGACAATCTGATGAGGCTGAATGGCATCTTTGTTTGTTTCCAGAGGCCAGGAGGAGGAAATGGCTTGAAGATTCCCCGGAGGCAAGTAGCAGCGAAGACGCCGTTGTGTTCGACACTTCGATTATCCCATGGTGGGCATGGATCAAGCGGTTCCATCTCCCTGAAGCCGAGAAGCTAAATGGTTATTCTTGAATTCTTTCAGTTTAAATAGCTAAATTATGTGTTTTCGATCGATTCAAACTGCTGGTGCAAATGGACCGGTATGGCATTGGGAAGAACAGTACAGTCATATCTACCTACACCTTTTGCCTTTTCATTTCACATCTTCTAATAGTATAACCAATGTCTATGCAGGCCGTGCTGCCATGGTGGGCTTCTTCATGGCTTACTTTGTCGATAGCTTGACGGGCGTGGGGCTTGTCGACCAAATGGGCAACTTCTTCTGCAAAACCCTGCTGTTTGTTGCTGTGGCTGGGGTGCTCCTGGTCAGGAAAAACGAGGACATCGACAATCTGAAGAAGCTCATCGACGAGTCAACGTTCTACGACAAGCAATGGCAGTCAACTTGGCAAGATGATTCCCCTTCCGGGCCGAAGAAATAGTTCCGAAGTTGAATTTTGCGGTGGCTGAGGGACGACGCGGACTTTCCTCCTTATGTTGTACTGTTTTCTTTTATCAGCCTTCTTTTTCGTCAAACTTTGTAATAACTATGCCATCTTGTAAAAAGTATGAACTCAGTTATGTGCTAGAGCCTAGAGGTAAACGCTTCTGCTGGTTATTTAGCTGAACGTTTTGCTGCTGCATATCCTTGCAGGGTTACAATGCAAAATCTTGTTGTGTATGCTTGCTACTCCCTCCGTTCCCAAATATAAATCTTTTTAGAGATTTCAACAAGTGACTACATACGGAGCAAAATGAGTGAATCTACACTTTAAAATATGTCTACATACATCCGTATGTTGTATTCCAATTGAAATGTCTAAAAAGACTTATAGGAGTATTTAGGAATGGAGGGAGTAGTTGAGGCTGCATGAGTACATTATAGCATTCAATATAAGCACTAGAGATCTAGTCTGGATTATAATTGCAACAGAACAAATCCCAAAAAGATACTTAGACAGTCTTATTTCCTCGATCAAGCTGTTATAACAAGTCATGTAATTCCCAACATTGTTTTGCACCAGCTTAGCAAGATTTTAAGGGTTACAGGTTCAGAGCAAAGCTCCCAAAGAAGAGTGGAATATAATAAGTTATCTAATTTCCATCATTGTTTTGCATCAGTTTCACAAGGTTTCAAGGGTTACAGGTTCAGGGCGAAGCTCCCAAAGAAGAATGAAATTGTACCAAAGCTAATGCGCATTCTTCACTCGGGATAATGTCCAACAAAACTGCACTCCAGTTTCCCTAGTAGTTAATACATCGGCAGCCCTTTGAATACACACACATGATCCCCTCCTCGCAATGATTCAGCATCTAGAAATTTGATGTCATGGTATGAAGTTAGAGATTGTACGCCATCAAAGAAAGTTCAATTCTGAAAGGCACATCAGACAAACCTGTGAAGAAACAATGTGCAGTCTGGCATTTTCCTGTTTACAGATTACTACTGCCTTTGATCTGGCAAGGAGTTTAAATCAGGCATGCTGACACGGCTGAATTCTGACCTGCAAATGTAGCACATAAAGTTAAACTTTCTGTCGTTGCATCTGATAACTATGTCAATTACACCACATCAGAGAAAGCGGTAACAACTTCACAAGAAAACTGAAAGTACAACCGTTTTATGGGGGATAACATGAGAGAGGTAATTGTACAGATAACTGTAACCTGCTGGACCAAACGTATTTCATGACATGTTCAATCCAAAAATAATACTCCCTCCGTCCCATAATATAAGAGTGTTTTTTACACTATATTATGGGACGGAGGGAGTATATACAAAGGTATTTAGGTAGGCGTAAGATTAAGACAAACACGAAAGAAAATCAAGAGTGCACACAGGAATGAGCAGCTGTTAAGGTAGACAAGTAAACCAAGTAGATTAACATGCATCCCTTTTTTCTTTCTTAACCAGGCTACCAGGGAACATGTTCAGCATAACCACTGTGGTCAATGCCATATCAATCTAGCGTCAAAATTCAGGAACAAAGAGTTCGACTTGGATGAAGAGGAACATACGGGAAAAGAAAGCAGAAAAATATTCACATATCACACTCCGGGGGTATTTGGAAACAAGAAAGGACTGATTATTACTAAGTAAAATTAAACTTCCCAGGGAGAAATACAAGAAATTATTAAAAAAATAAAGCAACTTACCCACAAGTTGAACATTTCTTATGATACTTGCAGAATATTGACAAGCAAACTGAACAAACATATCCCATGTCTATAGTCTTCTTGTGGCAGAAACATCTGTGGAGCAGAAAAACAAGTTAGAGGCTGTTGACTGTCAATGAGACCGGCAAACTGAGCGAACTAAGACCAATATGAAACCCTAATTTGGTAATCCTAACCAGACATTTGGTAAAGTACAATTTCAGAAACAAATTAGTTAGCTGTGTGTTCCTCATAATTTACACGACTTTTGCAGCTTTGCTGTAGTATTATGCCATGTTAACAATTTTATAGCTAGCATCTCAAGTGATAAAGACTCTTGAAATGCCAGTTAACCTAATCTCTCGAGGATATCATTGCAGAAGAAACAGTTATGTGTTTAGTGGAGAGAAAACTGAAAAGAACTTACGAGGCACGGAAATCTACTCCCAGGGTCTTAGGGAGGCGCAGAAAAGTTCTGGAGTGTAAGTCCGTTGCAAATACAGCCTGCATATTTGCTGAATGAGTCATGAACTCAAAAAAACTTCATTCGTACTAAGATAAAAGCTATCACACTCAATATATAGTGTAGGCAGACACAGAGGGGAACCATCTCGAAGAAGTAAAAAGACAAAATATCCCTTGTACTGGCAAAGAAAGGGATGACACTGAAAGAAGAGATTTGCGTCACAATACAATCAGTACCCACTCTGTCAGACCATGTATGGATATCCAACTCAGATTTATATAACTAGTGTCAAACCTCTATACAAATTTACAAACATACAGTGTCATAATCTAGATAGGATTTCTAAAATCTGAAACTAGACAGTTTTTCTAATATCTGAACTTATCTGGAGATAATTTATAGATATATTCAACACTTGAAACAGAAAGCTCTCAACTCCACCACACATTTATCATTAGCGTAAACCATAAGCATATCTGTGCATTTGAATATGAAAGGCAAGTTGGTATACTCAGTAGGGTGATAGGGGACTTCTCTGTTCAGTACACAGAAGAAAAAAAAGGCAAGGATGTGACGGGATTAGCAGATGAACGATAGCATGTGGGGGTGTGTTTGGCTTTATAGGATACCAGCATTCCAAATTATTTTACATGGTCATTTCAGAGATGCCACCCAAAACACTGCATGTGGATTTTTGTCATATTCTCTTTTCCTTTTTATATTATGTAAAATATGATAGAATAGAATGTGAGCATAAAAAGAAAAGAATACCACAAGCTTTCTATGAATATATCACACTTCAAAAGAAGATAAGAGACACCGTTGCAGAGGAAAATAACTGAATTGTGTGGTAGGGGACTGAATAACTTACAGCAAGGTATTGAAATAGACCACTTAGTTCTTGGGGCTTCATATAAACTCCTCCTGTTATATATGAAGCCTGCGAAATGAAGCAACAATATGTACTGAGCAAGGACAAGTGTTATGTGGGCAATGCTTGTAAATGACCATATAATCAGCAAAATGCAAGAGGGCAGGAAAGAACATCACCTGCTGCAAGAAAGCGGAGTCTTGGGTCCCCACAATACATGTATCGATTGGAACCTAAAAGATTTGTTAAACATTTGTAGTATTATGCAGCAGAAGTAGTCAGTGAATGATTTTAAACAATTAAATTAGTGATGTATGTCAACATGTCACACAGTACTGCTGCTTGCAGTTCGAACTTATTACGATTACCACAACTTGAAAAGTAACAGAATGCAAAGTAATGATAATAACAAGAAACCGCCAAGGAATCTAAATCCATATATTATTTTATCAAATAATAAGGGCAGTTCAAGTAGTACCATGGATCGTTGAGCCGAAAATATCGAATTCATCACAGCCACATATCTGCAGATAATCTGGTTAAGTAAGAATAAGTACAAGAAAATATAGATGTACATAAAAATACAGTACTGATGAACAAGTATGCATACTGTTCAGGTCCGTCTGGAGAACCCTGCAGGCACAAAATCTGTATTTCATGTTAGCATAAGACATGGTGCTAATTAGGCATTTTATGTGTAAGAATACTGGTAAGAATTCAAAAGAACAAATCTTAAAAACGTATAACCAACTAGGCGACAGATTATTGTCAGTCAATTTTGTTCATTGCAATCCTAACTAATACATTTACCCTTGTATATCATCAGTAAATCTACCAAAAGGCACCAAAAACAAGTATCACTGGAAAAAAAAGATACTCACCCGAGGTTGGGGATGCCGAGTACCAGACCGAAAAATCCTCTGTATATCTGAACATCACATATTAAGGGCACAAATGCAGCAAGGTAAAGAGGCCAGTGCACAACGAGCAAGAAACTTGATCATAGGACACAGCACAGAGCAAGGGACAGCGCGCCAGAAAACAGCGACGCCGCACCGCCATCAGCAACGGTGCCATTGCTGGCAGTCTCACGGGCATCCTGCTTAATGAACTCCTCCATCTTGCGGCTCGCCTTGCCTAAGGTTTCAGCAACATCTGCCGCGCCGGAGGCACCAGCATTGCCCGAGTCGAAGACGTAGGCGCAGGAGCTGACACCCGCTGCGATGATGACCACGTGGTTGAGGTTGCTCAGCAGCAGGAGCGAGTTCACGAAGTGGATCAGCTGCACCCGCGCAGAGCTCAGTTAATAACATCGAGGGATGAAGCATTTAGAGAAACCGATTAAAATCAAACCAAATTGGTTAGATCAGGGGAGAGCTGGCCCCCCTATATGCTCCCAAAATGCCTACAAATCGAAAGGGGAAGCAGGTAGTGGGGAGACGAGGGTTAGGGTTTCAGGAGCGCGGCCGTCGCGTACGTGGGACAAGAAGTCGGCGAAGGGGAGCGCGGCGCCGGCCCAGAAGAAGGGGTTGGTGTCGACGACCACCACGACGAGGCTGACGTCATCTGCGAGGCGTGCTATCGGTCAGCTCGAGCGACGCGGGGTCGTCGCGGAAGACGGCGAGGAGAGAGGGGTGCGTACCGGAGTAGAGCTTGGAGTGCGCCGAGGTCATCGCCGCTGGCGGAGAGGGAGCTGGGGCTCTAGGTGGTCAGCGGCGGCCAGTGGTTGGCTCTCACGGTGCTCCGGTTCGCGGAACGGCGCCCGCGCTTGTTCGTAGGCGCGGCCGGGGGGACGGGGAGCTGGGCGGCGCCGGCGGCGGAGGATGGGGGTGCCGTGGCTGCGGGCTGTGGCCTGTGGAGACTGGACAGGGGCTTCGACTTAGAAACAGGCCGGCGGTCTCAGAAGAGATACTAGCCCAACGCCAAGCCCTGTGTTCTAGGCCCGGTCG